TCTTATAATTTAAAAATTAATACTTTTAACACTTTAGTCCTTTTATTTGAACCTTTTGAATGGTAGTAGGCCCAGTCCAGTCAACGAGGAAAGCTTAATCTCGTAACAGGCTGTTTAAGTTACTGAAAATCAGTATTCCATTTCTTTTTAGTATACAACCGAAAACAACAAAAAATTTGAGGAAATAAAAATTGTAAAAATTATTTTTCACCTTGTGTTCAAGCTGCCAATAAGAAAGAATTGAACAAGAAACCTAGAACGATGAAATGCTTATTCTCTAGCAGTGGCAGATCTATGAATTCAGTTGTGCATGGCAATCGCTAATATAAAGGGGAAAAAAATCCTGGCAGAACCAATGGCTCACGGGTGCTAGCTCCGCCCCGGGTCTCCATAAACAATTTCTCATCTCAACAAATTTCAAAGAACAACAACTATAATAAAAAGCTCGACTTTTTACCTCGTACAAAAATCTTAGAAATTTCATGGTGACGGGTTTCTTAGAAAAGGTACTTTGATTGCCTCGAAAATGTAATTGTGGCTTGAATAACCTCCACCAGGGAATATGACTAATTCATGGTCTTGATATGCTCCAAAATAATACTAAAGTTAATAAATATTAAATAGCTGGGAGCAAGCAAAAACTCACAGCATTATCAAAAATTCTGATCTCCTTGGAGTCATTTACAAATTCCAATACAGATTCTACCATGGTCCAGAAATACAAAACTATTCATTACAATTTTAACAGTAAGAATAAATAAAGTTACAACTAAAAATGGTGTATGGAAAGGGCTTAAGAGAATCAGAAATCCAAGGAACTGGAACTTCTTCATACGTGTGCAGGGTACAGATCAACAGAACTCAACAGCAACCGTTCTTTGCTTGTGCATCCACTTCTTTGCTCCCATCAGCCTGTAGATCTACTGTTTTCCCATTAAACATCCAGCTGGGATCTTTGCGTTTGAGCTCCTGAGATTGAATAACCTTCCGACTTAAAATGTTGTAAATCTCTTTGACCACCGTCTGAAAGGCAACAGCAACATTGGAGGAATCTAGAGCTGAAGTTTCAATGAAGAACAGGCCTTGTGCCTCAGCCAAATCTTTGCCTTCAGCAGTTGTGACCTCCCGAGCATCTTTGAGGTCAGATTTATTTCCAACAAGTACTGTGACAACGTTCATGTCAGAATGAGCTGTTCCAGAATTAACCACTCAAATCAGTGTCTGGTATCATAAATTAGAAAAACAAAATGTTTAACAGTCAACTGTAGTATAGCAACGTGTAAAATCTATACGTCAACAGTAAAAGGAAACTAAACTGTTTCTAGTTCTACTACTTGCATCAGAAATAAGGATACAAAAGTGACCAGTGCATCAAACAGAATCGGAAGGGAAGAGTCCAGCACCAATGCTATAAATATAGAAATTCCAGTGATTTAAAATTTAATCCTTTTCCGAATTTTATATTTTAGGAAAAGAATAGCAAAGAAAATCCTAATCTTTAAGGTGGTGAATGTCATTCTGATAGTGATTGCAATGAGTAGCTGATGGAAGGAGTGTCCTGGTCTATTTCCAATGGAAAAGAAAAAGCGCTTAAATAAAATCAAGTGAAATATAGAATGTCAAGCTGCTTACTCTGAAGTTCATTAAGCCATCTGCCAATGCTATCAAAGGTCTGGCGTCGACTGATGTCGTAGACCAGAAGAGCTCCAACTGCACC